ATATATATATATATAAAGCAAGTTAAACAAATACAAGACTTGCTTAAACTAGAAAAAGGATAACAGCTAGCTCCTAGCAATTCTGAGGTAAGTTATGTGTAATTTGTCACCCTTTATCAGGTCAGCCAGAATCTGTGTAGGGTTAGTAGCAACAGTTACTCTTTGGGATTCAACACCTTCAATAGCTAGATAATTAGCTGGTTTGTTGCCCTCCCTGTAGTTAAAACAATAGTTCACTTGTATCTCCTTGGTGATATGCTTTATCTTAAGAATCCACTGTTGGATATGCCATGGGGGGACATCTTTACCATTCATGTACTCAATCAACATTGAGGAATCAACCTCAGCTTGGAGTGGTGTCCACCTGTTGATGGCAGCTTTTTAAAGGCCTAGTAAAGAGCAGCTATCTCAGCTTCTAGGGCACCTTCAACAATAATTGGAGCTTTGAGGAACATTATGCATCTGCCTTTATAATCTCTAAAGACTCCTCCAATTCATGCTGTGTGGGCTGAAAAGCTTCAATCAGTGTTTACTTTAAGGTGGGGTTATTGAGGTTTTTCCCAATAAACTTTAATAACTTTTCTGCAATTCTGATCCTTGCTATGGTTAATTTTAAGGATGTTTGGAAAATCCTTCCAAATGATCAACTTTTTGATATAAGCAAGACAATTTGCCTCCACTATTGCAGTAGTCAAATTATGATCTTCATGCTTGTTTTTGTTCCTTGCATTCCATATGAACCAGGCAGTGATGAAAGGGATTGTACAAAGTTGAATCTTTGCCAATCTAACCAGCACTTCTTTAGCTGTTCCCTCCCCAAGTTAAGAGTATTTATGTGGAAATTAGTTATCAAGGAGCTCCAAACCATCCTGGAGAAGTCACACTGCAAAAACAGATGAGTAGATGTCTCTTCACTACTCTGGCAGAGATTACATTTTGAAATCTCCTTCAAGCCCTTTAATATGAGAATGTCATTTGTAGGAATTAAGTTATTTAGCACTCTCCAAGAGAAGAATGCCATAGAGGGGTTTAGGAATTTGTTCCACAAATTAACACCCCAAGAAGTTTCCTCCCAGGTGAACAACTAATTATAAATAGCTTGGGTCACACTTTGAGTGGATTTAGCTTTAATAATCACGCTATCTTTGTTATTTCTGTCAAATTGGATTTTAGATATATTTCTCATAGAGTTTTCTATAACAACATTTTGGAGTGCTTCCTGAGACCAATTCTACCCCTCCCAGCAATCCTTCACCATGAGGTTCTTGTCCAAATTATCATCCAAGGTTTCAATTGTATTCTCTGGGCACCATTTGTTCTGCCAAAAGTTGATGTTTCCTTGTCCCATCTCCCAAGTGTATAAATGTTCAGCTTGTTCCTTCATTTTCAACATCTGTTTCCAGGTCTTAGAAATCCCCAAGTTTGGCCCTCACTTGGTTAGGGTGATCAGTTTTGCAATATTTGGAGTGCATGAAGTTTTCCTAGAGGTTGTCATTCTGTCTGAACATTAGCCAAAGTTTGTACATGCTAATTTGGTGTAGCTGTTGAGGTCGCTTGAAGCCTAAACCCTTAGCTTATGGAGGTTTGGCAGCTTTCTGCCAGCTGGTCCAGATCATTTGTTTCCTTCAAACACTTGGGGGTATATCTTACTAAAGGAAGCAATGCACTTTAAATTTTCTTCAGCAAGTATTTGAAGGAGGTATCCATAGCTTTGAAACTAGTGAGCTCTAAAGTCCACTATTTGCAGGCAGTGGAGCAATTCTTGCTGAAGAGGATGTGGCTTTTATCTTTGTTCACTTCAAGGCCAGAAGCTTGCTGGAATTTTTGCATATCTACATACAGGTTTTTGATAGCATTTTTATTAGCTCTAGAAAAAATTAGGACGTCATCAACATAAATAAGGTGGCTAATGTCTTATTTGGATCTATTGAGATATATGCTGTAATCCAGTGTCAGTATGAAGATGGTTGGAGATAAGGGATCCCCCCTTGTCTCAATCACCTATTAGCCTTGAAAAAACCATGGGTTTTACAATTAATTAAGACTGTGTTAACATTTTCTTCAAGCCATCTTTGGATGATTTTGCAGGAGTCTTTTATAAATCCCCTAGCCTTCATAATATCCATGATGAAGTTCCAATTGATCATATCATAAGCCTTTTTCAGATCCAGTTTAAAGATCATGTTGCCCCCTCTGCAAGGTTTATCTAAATCCAATAGAATCTCTTAGGCAACAATAATATTATCCCCAATGTTTCTCCCTTTCACAAAGGCTGCTTGTTTAGGACTAATGAGATGTTGAAGAATGGGTTGGATTCTGAATACCAAAATTTTGCTTATGATTTTACTAACAATGTTGGTGAGGCTAATAGTTCTGTAGTTACTCCAATAATCTTTTAGTGAGGATTTGGGGACAAAAATAATGGTGGCAGTATTGAAATAGTCTAGTAAAGGTTGTCCCTTAAAATGGTGTTGGATAGCTTCAACAATCTCTACCTTGATGACCTCACAAGCCTTCTTATAGAAATCAGCAGTGAATCCATCAGGACCTGCTGATTTGGCACTATCAATAGAGAAAAGAGCTTTTTTAATATCTTCCTCTACAGGGGTTTCAGCTAAATTTATCTTGGAACAAAGATCCTTCTCATCTTGGAACAAATCAGATTCCACTTGTTGTCTTTCAGTTAATTCACACTACATTAGGTCTTTACAGTAGGCCACATCACTCTCAGCAATCCCTTGAGCATATCTGACAATTTCCCTGGTTGTCTCTGATAGAGTGATTGGTGTTGCTTTTTCTTTGATAATTGATGCAGGCATGATAAAATTTAGTGTTTCTATCTCCATCAATAAACTTGTTCTTTGCTGCCTTCTGTTTCAAGAATTGCTCTTGCAGCTCTACTGCATTCAGTAACTTTTCATTGGCTTCTAGGAGGAAAGATTCTCCCACCTGGCACTTGCTGTGTTTTTTCTCTAGAAGTTGGAGCTCTTTCTCAGCCTGTTCTACTCGTGTCAGAATGTTCTCAAATGTGCTCCAAATTCATTTATTGAGAGCTTTAGCAGTCTTTTTTTGTAAATTCCACAGCTTGATTAGAGGGTTT